GAAATAATGCGTATGTATCTACATTTTGTGATCTAGCGGCTTCACGTAAGTCACTGCTTCTGTGCTTTGTTTAGAGTTTTGGTGGCATGTGTCCTGTGTGGAGATAAATCTTGAACTGAACGTCCAGATGAGCTCTCGCGCATGAATTGGGTGAACTGGACACGAGGGGTGGTGCGCCCTCACCCGTCTTGAGGACCAGCAGGTGCAGAGCGTCGTCTCTCAGGTAGGAGGCGGCGGCGATCTCGTGCGTGGGGATCCTCATCAGCAGCTTCTCGTTGTGCCTCCAGGTCAGCAGCAGGCAGCGGGCCGACAGGCTCAGGATGCAGTCCTGGTCAGCGCTGGTCTTCAGCGGCAGCACCTTCAGCTGCTGCTGACCCAAGGGGCCGGGGGGCAGGAAATGTCAGACCAAGGATGAGATGGTCAACACCCATCTCATCGTCATTCACGGATAGTATACCGACCCGGGCTGTGTCCAGGAGCTGCAAAAGCTCGTCCCGACTGGAGGGATTCAGGGAGACGGACACCCAGGTCAGCTGACCCAGGAACTGAGAGGAGAGATCAAAGTCGGGCGGTCAGTTATCACCGTCATGATGTCAGTGGCCATCAAATCCTGTCTTCTTACCCTCCGAATTTATCCCAGTTTGAAAGTCACTGATGGTTAATTAATCCAGTGTTTTTCAACCTTTTTTGAGCCAAGGTACATTTTTTCATTGAAAAAATCTCGAGGCACACCACCAACCAAAAATGTTAAAGAAATCTGTAGCCGCCTATAGTAACACTATAGTTATTCTTATTTTATTCTTATCTTATCTTAAGTTTCTCGAATAGGAATCAAATAAACACAAAAATGTATTTTTATCATATCTTATATTTCTTCTTTCAAATTGCTCTTAACATGTCCACTTCAATATACAGAATTATATACTAAATCTAGTCATAAGGAATTATTACATGATTACTCCACCAGTCACTAGAACAGCACAGACACTCAAAAAAGGAATATTATTTGCTGAAAATGAATTCCTTATCAAATTTTTGTTTAGGATGATTTTCTATGGCACACCTGACCATCACTAACAGCACACTAGTGTACCGAGGCACAGTGGTTGAAAAACACTGTATTAATCCACAGAGGATATGTGGAACATAACAGATGCTCACCATTGTTTTAACCCTTTAAAGCCTGATCAAAGATTATAGGAAGAATATTGGATTTTTTTAGTCTGAAGTCTTTCTTTGGCCCCTCAACAACATATGAGGAAAAAAAACAGAAATTGTTTTGATCAAATTAGCGTGCAATAAGTCAGAAATGTATTTTTGTGTAGTCTTCTACTGGCTGTTATCAGGTATATCTGAATGTGTACAACAGGGGTTTGAGCAAAGCTTTTACCACTGAATGATGCAAAAAGGCTCAGATCCAAAAGACTTCAGAAACCCTATAATACCAAATATGATACATTTGGCATTATAGGGTTAATATAAGTTGATACTATATAAAAATACTCCAAATGCACTAGTATAGAATAGGAAATACAAACTGCATAAATAGCAAATCTGTAAGGCTTCTTGACTATATTCACAAGACATTTCTCACAATATTTCTCTTAAATTCAAATCATAACAGCAGTTATCTCACAGCTTTCCAAACAGAGCTGGTCAGACCCTACTCTGAAGTTATTTCCAGAAGCCCAACAATCCAAAAGTAAAGAATACCCGCACCAGCGGTCAGTTATTGCCCACGGGTCACTGCATGAACACATCTCTGTACTGTCGTGCTCTACCTTCACTTCCTTCTCCACGTAGTCAAAGATGAGCCTCTCTGGGTGGATGAGGTAGTCGGGGGGGTAGAGGGGCACGGTGTGCAGCGGGCGCCGGTAAACGCTCCCTCGGTCAGCCGGCCTGCGTCCAGATTTGGACCAGACAAGTCGCTTAATGGGGGAGACAAAGGCCTGAAAAGAGAAGGAGAAGATGCATGGTCCTCAGGTTATTTTCACTTTATTGTTATTATCATTAGTTCATTGTCACGACTTTTATCATCCCATTTAATTTCAGCGTCATCTGCGTTTTCGATACCTTACAGCTTCAATTTGATTAGGAAGGCTATGAATGAAATTGAAAAAAAAAACTTTATTCTTTCCCAAAGAGAGAATACATTGATGCAGTTTCTTTAAAACAATCCTCCTCAGATTTCCTTCTACTCTTCTGACTTTCTGCTCGGTTATAGTAACTCATTCATTTAGTTTATTTTGAAACATGATATGATTTTACAATATTTACATAGAATGTTTCCTAAACATACATCATATTTCAAAAAGGAGCAGGATGAAGCCTAAGCTTATTAAGCCCTACCCCTCTGTTACAGTCATGGTGGAAAAGGATGATTACAGTAAAACAAACAGTATAACTTTGTATGTATTATTCTTTTTTGTATTCATCAAAAATACTTTTCTTATATTGTTTTTTGAATTGCTGGATGCTATTACATTGTAACTCTTTCTAAACTGGACATCCTCCTCCTCAGGACACCAGAGAGCTTTTTTTTGTCTTTGTCCTCTTGTTGGGCCGCTGGCTGGAGGTCTGTGAGGAATGTTTCTGCAGAATGATTTAGATGATTTAGATGGAGAGGAGCTTAGCCCACAGGGTGCTCGCGCTGTTAGCGTGTTCATGAAAAAACTATCTGTTTTAGAAATGTCATCGCACGCTGGCTCTCCAGTTGTTGTGTATCTGCGGGGTGTGTTGTGTGTCCGTGCTGCTGGTGTGTTTTGATGCTGAATTGGTGTTTGTGGTGTTTTGCCTGCCCGGACTTCCCACAGAGCCTGCTGGATGCTCTCCGTTGTGTGGTTTTGTTCTTTTTTTTT